AGCTCAGATTGATAGTTTCATAGATGAGGAAACTGATCCTAAGGGAGGCTAAATGACTTCTCCCAAGTCACACAGGGAAGTGGGAGCTCCAGGATTTGAACATGGGCCTTTTGACTCCACATCTAGATCTCTTTCCCTTGTACTGCCCTCACTACTGGGTGACCTCTGGCTCGTTCCATATTCCTAGAATTTAGCTTTCTGTTCTTAGGTCCTGGAGCATTTAAAAAACAGGAACCAAATAAAAATCTCTGTCCAAAAGTTAAAAGTACTAAATCCCAAGTCTGAGTCCAGTTGGTTCCCTGCTTTTCTGGAAACATCACACACACACACACACACACACACACACACACACAAAAACTTTTAGTGATGACAAGCCTTAGGTAAACTTACACTTGTAGATAAGGGCTCAGAAGTCAAGGTTCGGCCCTTTTCCCGAGCATGAGATTTACTCTTCCCTCAGAGCTCCATAGACAAAGTAACTTCATTCATAGATTGACACACACGATAGCTATCTGCTTCACTGGCTGTATCCACTTATATTTCAAAAGGACAGCTAGGTGGCATAGTGGATATAGAGCCAGGTCTGGAGTCAGGAATTCAAATCTGATCCCAGACACTAGCTGTGTGACCTGGGCAAACCACCTAACTCAGTTTGCCGCAGTTTCCTCATCTGTAAAATGAGCTGGAGAAGGAAATGGCAAATCATTCCACAGTATCTTTGCCAAGAAAACCCCAAATGGGGTCAAGAAGAGTTAGACATCACTGAAAATGACTGAACAAAATATTTCAAATAGTAAGAGGAGTGGCACAGTTACAGATGACTTAGTGACAGCAGACTGTGGCCAGGCCCTTGCAATAGAGATTAGTGAGGGGCCTCTCCAAAATTACTTTAGCAGAATCAATGTAAAAAAAAATCATTAAAAATATATTAAGAAAAATAATTTCTCTAGCAAGGGGTCTGGATCAAATTCCTGTATGTTGTATACTGATAAATTCCAGCAAAGTCTTAATTTCTAAATGTTATTTTGTGTGTGTGTGTGTGTGTGTGTGTGTGTGTCTGTGTCTGTGTGTCTGTGTATAAGGGGGTGGGTGAGAATAAACTAAATTAGAGAGAACGTTATTTAACTTTTAATTCTGGACCTCTAGAAAAAAAATCAGCCAAAGACAACAGTATACTGTCCCTATAAATGTAAGATATGGTGGGCATCGTAGTTGTTCTAAGGTTACCAAGTTGCTTGGGGGAGGAGGGGAAGGGTCAATGGTTATGAAGAGTTACACAGGGCTGATTTTACATCTGATGACAAGCATTTCTCAGTACGTTGCAACCTAACATATCCAGAATAAATTGGGCCATCATCTTAGTTTTGTCAATGACAAGGAAGAGTCCTACTCTCTCTTTTCCTTTACCTTCCATATCCTCATTCTTGGGGCAACTTGGGGTACAGAGTAGACACATAATATTTGATGAACTGTTGAACTGAACAAAATCAGTTTAATGATGGGGAAGAATTTCCTGATGATTCCCATGAACACAGTTCTGTTTCAGTATGACAGTTCTCTTTCTTCCCTGGCTATCCCTGCTTCAATTATTTCCTCCCCTGAAGTTTGGCATGGTATAAAGAACACTGAACTTAGACAGTCAGGAGATCTGACTCCATCACTGATTGTCAGATAACTGAGGATATGCATTAAGCTTTGCTGGGCCTTGATTTCCTTAGTTATCTTATAAGGATAATGACCCTTTGCTCTACCTGCCTTCACACACACACACACACACACACACATCCCTTTAGTGATGACGGACCTTAGGCAAACTTATACTTCTACATAAATGCTCAGAAATCAAGATTTGGCCTTTTCCCCCAAGCATGAGATTTACTCTTCCCTCAGCCTTCACAGACTTATTAGGAAGAAAATACTTTATAATCCTTCATGTGTCAGCTACTCTTAATAGAAGTCTGTCTGCTGAGGACAAAGTTGTGTGTGGAGATGAGGGTCACAGATGATTATAGCTAGACTTTCTCACTGCGTAACCAGGCTTTCTTCCTATTTGTTTGGCAAAGTTTATCTACAAAACTTTGTCCTTTCACTTGCCAGTGATAATGATGTAGTAAAACAGAGCTCCTACTCCCAATGAACACTTTTGAGGGAGTGTGAATGGGAGAGAAGCAGGCTGAGGGGGAAATGTAGCCATTCTCATTTATAAAATCAAGACAATCACAGTTGCACATTTTCCCAAATCTTTGGCTGTATTGCAATGGTTGGTTCATTTTTGTAATCTCCAACTAAACATTTCCTAACCATGGATTAACAATATAGTTACTGACTGGTTTCTTTTAACAGTATTTATCCAACATAACAAAATAAACTGCAATTTGTTATACTTTTTTTTTTACAAAACATTTTATAAATATTTTTACAAAATGTATACAAAGCAATTTCAAGTGAGACATACTATACAAATGAAGGTATTTAAGCAAATAAAGTCCATACCACACTGACAATAAGTGACACATCCTCTTGAAGTCAAGTCAGTCTGTAAGGCCTCCCTAATCTAACAAATTGTACTAAATTCTTCAGAGTTAAAATATTTTTTTCGTAATTGCCAGTTCAAAATTTGCTTTAACTTAAAGGATAAGGAAAATCAAATGCTTAATAACAAATTCACATTTTCCACAACAACGACAACAAAAAGAAAATGATTTTTGTTATGGAATACAAGTAGTCCTAAAATTTAGGTTAGATTAATGAACCTGAACAACATTAGCCATCCAAGGCTGGTTTCATTTAACCTGTTTCAGAGGGTGTTCAACACACAAAGGCTGACTCTGTGTTGTGTGTGTGTGTGTGTGTGTGTGTGTAGTGTGTATGTAACCTAATCTGACAAGAGTAAAATATACTTTGTAATCTTCTTCATTATCAAGAATCCTTTGTCCATAAAAAGTAAACTTACATATAGGACACAAAAATTTACAAGTTTCATTTCAGTAAATTAAGTTCTCCATCTGCTAAACAAATATTAGGGCTCTTAAACCCTATAAAAGACAAAATATGGAGCAGCTGGGTTTAGGGTGGCATGGGGGCTGTGATTAGGAGATGGTTCATGGGCATGGAGTCCATTTTCCCTCTTAAGAATGCTACTGATTCATAGGAACTAATGTAACTTTTGGCCAGCTTACCCTACTGGCTTCTATGTATGTAGCCCCACCATAAAGAGTGGAGTCTGGTGCTCCAGCTCATTATTAAAAGTCCTGCTGGAAATTAAGATAGCCTAATTCCAAAGGGGAGTTTGAGAAGTTGGAGGCTTGGAGTGGGGTGAGGTGAGACAGGGGTCTTAAGATAATGGTGCCCAAACAGAAATTTCAAACTGGCAATATACCAACTCATTCTTTCTAATATGTTACATTAGTGAGGTCTGGGGAATGTTGAGCTTGACAATTCACATCCTGGATATTGGCACAAATCAGTAAAAAATGGCAATCCCTAAACAGCCTAGATCTTCCAATTTCTAGATATATAACAAGAGGGAAGGAGTGAGGAGTGTGGGGAGAAATGGCCCATTGAGTCTATGAGGACTACCTTTATTACAGGTTAGTTAAAATAGGAGGGGAGAAGGTAAGAGAAGAGAAGCAGTCACTCCCTTCCCCATTAAGTATAGGTTGCTGCACTTTTACAATGGTCAGAGGCCTTACTTTTTCTTTCAGGCCATTCTGAATGATAAACACTCAGCATGAGAATAATGGGCTGCCTCTGCCCCAGTGAGAATCAGAAGCAGGTTTGGGATCTTGGCAACAAATGATAAAGTGAAGGCTAGAGGATGCACACGTAAAGAGAGAAAACAACAGGCAATAAAAGGGAAAGAAAGAAAAGAGACAGAGATAAAGAGAAGAGGGAGAGCTCACTGCTGTCATCATGAAAGGTCTCTGGTTTTGAATAAGCATATATACATATATGCATGTATGTGTGTATATTATATATATATATGAATATTTTTTCATATAGCTGTTACAGCAACAGTTGAAAAACTGATAAATACAACAGCATTAAGGACAAAAGTAACAAAAGTAGCATGCTCTGGGGAAGAGAAATAAAAGAATGAGCTGGAAGAAAAAAATAAATAAGAATCTATCATCATCAACACAAACACTGGCCAAGTACAAACCATCAAAGGGCATCCTTTGGCTCTAAACTGGGAATTACCTATTTTTCAGATCTTTCCTTTCAACAGTAGATTGAGCTGGTTCACTTTGGTCTATATGTATTTTGGTAATTGTAACTGCTACTTGGGGCAACTAATATTTTTGACAGCAACAATCATAAACAAGGCTAAAGTCCCCTTAAAAGTATAAATTAAAAAATTATAACACTGTTTTTAAATGAAAAGTGCATTTTGACACTTGGATGGGGTTGGTTTTAAAAACAAAATCAAAGAAATCCAAACAAACAGAAACACACCACATCATAAAGATTTAGGTTGACTATACCCAATTATAAAATGCAAAACTTTTTTTCTCAATAGTTAACATATATATGCATTTAAATATATACATATATAATAATCATGGCTCTATCATGGCCTCCCTCCCCTGTACACTTTGCCACTTAGAGACTAACCTTATATTATTAATTCAAGTCGTGCTATTGTGACTAATGACAGAGCGTAACTTAGATAAAATTCGCCAGATACAGACATACCATAAAACAGGAAGTTTTGTTCCAGGCGCCCTAAAAAAGCACTGGATGATGATGGAGGGAGCCCTGCAATGCCCTGCTGCTCCTGTGCAGGCTTCACAGGCCAGCATGGGGATTCTCAGCCAGAGGTCTGCCGCTGCTTCAAAAGGCCTCCAGGAGTGAGGCCGTGGGGTTGCTCTTTCCCTCCCCCTAAAAAAACAAAGCTCTCAAACAGGGATATGGATGGGGCTAAAAACAGAAGCAGCTTCTATTGGTCTTGTTTGATTTTTTTTAATAAGTATTTTTTCATATGATGTGTGATTGTCAGCATTTTACTTCGGGCCTAGTGGACTGTGATCTCATTGAGTTACAGTGTTTTTTTTTTTTTTAAACAAAACAAAACAAAAACGACCATAAGCACTATCCTAACACTTGAGATGTGTAGGGCCTATGAGACTGCTTTCTAACAAGGATGAGCTTTACTGGGTATCTCCCTGTAACCACAACGAGTATTGCTTTCAAACACAGAACAGGATTGAGTTTAAAAGGGTGACCTGTGATGAAAGATCAGGCTGGCTGGAGTTAGGGGATGCTTTCCATTCGTTCTTGCTAGGAGAGAACATTAACTTGCCCAGGGGACTGCTTCTATTAACACTCGAGGATACTATTTACAGCTGCTTCTAAAATGGAGTCAGTTTCTACACCACCTTCACTGGGGTCCGGCATGAATCTTTCCAGGCAGTTTTCTGGAGATGCCATTGGGGAAAAGTTGGGGAAATCTAACTCGATGGAACCACTGCCAGCCATATCAGTTTGGAGGTGCCTCCCAGGTTTTTTGAGTTCCAAGATATTTTTGAATGTTGTTTCTAAGCTCTTACTGAGTTGAAGATCTGGCTGGGGCTCACCCGACCCTTTCATGATGTCTGTGTGTAGAACCTCATTCTTTGGAGAATTCCTCAGAGTTTTGTCTTGAAGGGAATTGTTACATGTTCCCTCTGAGTGAGGTTCAATAGTATTACTTGATCGCTGGTTGTCCATACCATGATCTAGTCTGGATGAGGTTTTCAGGGGGCCCTCAGAGCATGGAGAGCACTCACTGCCCCTGGCGGAGTCTCTCCTGACTACCTTCTCTTCAGCTGTGCACCCAAACTGGACTGTACCTGCCTTGTCAAATTTCAGGGCTTTGCCAAGGCATTCTGATTTTTTAGAAATATTTCCTCCTGGGGAGACCATAATGTGGTTAGGCACTGTATGAGGCTGGTCATGATTTGCTGGTTCTGCCACGCCTAGTTTGGCTCGGTCTCTGCTTTGGACCTTGGTGGCCACTGCCAGGTTCAGAGAGCTTGATGCCTTGCTGCCATGCTGGTCACTCCTGCCAAACTGTGTCTCTTCTGTGGCTTTATCTAGTTGTTTGGAGGAACAACAGAAATCGGCCTGATAACCATCTGGAAGTAGGAAAAAACATACCTGAGTCTACAGCTTTTGTGTATGAAAGACATTTAGTGAATGGACAAGACAGGAGGAGCCACATGAATAGAAGCTGAGTGGGTAAGATGAATAGGGTGAACACATATTAGACTCTCCCAATCATATTACTCCCCATCCTTTGAGAGGATCTTGTCAGCATACTGGGATTATCCAGAAGCTTGATGTCTAGACTGGAAAACCAATCAGCAGGTTTTGGTAGGCACCAGCTTGGAAGCTTGGACCTCTCTTGGAATGTGGTGGCTTGAAGATATATAGGTCAATAAGTTGGGCAAAAGCCCTCCCCAACCCTGAGCTCTCAGCTGTTTTTTTGTTTGTTTTTTCCCTTCCCTTCCCCCCTTTTTTGGGAAAAAGTTTGGAAACATGTTAGACAATAGGCATCATGCCTGGAATCTTTTTCCCCTTACACGGTACAAGAAGCTTGAATTAGGTCATGAAGAATATTCATTTTTTCTAAAAAAAAAGTAATAGAGCCTCAAGAAATCTGCACATACAGACAATAGTAAATCTAGTCATGCTTTGTTGAGAATAAAAAGTGGTCAGCAAGGTCACAAAAAATGCTTTCATCTCAGGAAAGGCAGGAGAATAGGATGGAAGGCATAGAGCAGAAACAATTGTATCAAGCAAAGCTGAAAACAGTTCACAGGATGGCTGAACTGAACTTGAACTGAAAGATCATGAGGTCTGTAGGAGCGTTGCAATGAGAACTTAAAAAGGAAAGTTAATTCTTCAGTTAGAAAGTGAGAAGGTGAAAGGATACATGATAAAACCTATTTTAAAAAAAATCTGAGTGAATACATGCATTGTTTTCCTGGACCTATGACTTCATCACCCTTACTATCTGCCCAGCTGTGGCTCCCTAAGGACCACCAAACCTTTCCATCCAATTTGCAACTGAATCCTCTGATATGTCTTTTATTCCATTCCTGGAACAGGAGTTATTCAAGCAGGATGATCTTGCTTTATTTGCTTATGTGCACAGCACTTCACATCGAGGATCTGGAACTTAACGGGACTTTAGAAGCCACTGAGTCCAATCTCCTCATTTTACAAAGGAGGGAACTGAATTACAGAGAGGTTAAGGGACTTGTCTAGGGTCACACAGCTACTAAGTATTGGGGGTAGCATGTGAACCCAAATCCAGTCCTGCTATACATACACAGTAGGTGCCTAATAAATGTTCATTCATTCACTGGTATATGGAACTCCTGGTAAGAAAATTCCCTCTACTCCATTAGTCTTAGAGAGGTGCTGGAGACCCTGAGAGGCTGCCACTGTCCAGAGTCATGGAGCCAGGATACATGTGAGAGGAAAGACCTGAGCCTAGTCATTTTCTGCCTCCAAGACCACATTAGGTCTCTAGGCCATACTGCTTAAATCTTGGATTGCTAGAACTAGAAAGTACATCCTTACTAACAACAACTAACGCAAACTTATGGAACAGGTTAATACAAATGTTATCATCTCTATTTTATAGATGAGGAAGTTGGGGCCCAAAGAGGTTAAATGCCTTGGTCGAGTTCACACAGCCAGGAGGTGGCAACCCTGGCCTCAAAGCTGATCCCTGGGCTCCAAGCCCAACATTCTCTTCACAATATCATGCTGTTGACCCTGAGGTCCAAAGAAGGAGCTCTGGGGGAAAATGCAATGCATCCTTCTCTATAAAAAAGTAGTAAACATGCAACTTCTCACACAGAGTGCTAGTGTAATCGGATAAAGGGACCAAAAGGCTCAGGCAGACTAAAGGTAGGAAAAAGGGAGCACGGTGATGACACAAAAGGCAAGAAGCCAATGTCTGAGGAACAAAGAAAAGCTGGAAAAGAGGCAAAAAGGGTGGCAGAAATTATTCCTCTAAGTTTAGATTCTTCGATGGTCTTTTTGCAAGTGGCCTTGCGGTACTGGCAAGAATCTGCCACCTGTCGAATGGGACTAAGTAGGTGACAAAAAGCCTCCTCTAGGAAGAAGGTGGGTGAGTGGGAGGACGCCAGGAAGCAGGGTACAATGGGAACTGTAAGCAAGACCATGGAGGACAGACAGTTCTCAGTTTCAACAAGAGATTGGAATTAGGCAAAAAATTACCAAGCTCTTCATACCCTTTCACCAAAGAGCCCCTGACTGGGCACATGTCCCAAGGAGGTACAGAGAGAAAGATCCCATGTATTATAAAAATATTTCCAGCTGCACTTTTTGTGGTAGCAAAGAACTGGGAACAAAGTGGGTGCCATCAATGGGAAATAGCTAAACAAATTTCAAACAAGTGAGCATAATAGAATATTATTGTGCCACAAAATATGACAAGTATGAGGAATTCAGATAAACATGGGAGAACATACAAATTAATGCAGAGTGAACTAAAAAAAGATAGGTAAAAAAATATACACAACTATTACAATGTAAGATTATGACAAGAACCAATCTTTGCCCAGAAGGAGAGAGAAATAAATGCACCTCATTCCTTTTGCTAAAAGGGCTGAGACTATGGGTGTGCAATGCCATATATGCTGTCAGTCAATGAGGCAATGTTTTGTTAAATTTGGCTTAACTGTTTTTTTTCCCCTTTGTAACAAGGGTTGCTGCTCAGAAGCTGGGTGGGGGGAGGGGAGGGAAAGTGGGCAGATCTGAAGATGACTGTGAAGTGAAAACAAAAGGAATCCTTAGTTTTCTTTTTTTTCCTTTTTTTGTGAGGCAGTTGGGGTTAAGTGACTTGCCCAAGGTCACACAGCTAGTACGTGTCAAGTGTTTGGTTGGAGGCCGGATTTGAACTCAGGTCCTCCTGACTTCAGGGCCAGTGCTCTATCCACTGTGCCAACTAGCTGCCCCAATCCTTAGTTTTCTTATCTGTACCTTGAGGGTAACAACAGCCACCTCACCCATCTTACAGGTTTGTCGCAAAGATCCAATGGGTTTTAGAACTGGAAGGGACCTTAGAGATTATCTCGTCTAACCTTCTTATTATGTAGAGGTGAAGTGAGAGAGTGTTACCCGTAGGACAGCTGGGATTCGATCCTGGTCTTCCAACCATAAACTTTTCTACTATGATGTGCTCCTTCTTCATATATGTGCTCACCAATGCTCAGGAACACTTTGAGAGCATTACAAGTGTAATGCTTTTATCACATGATAGGTATTCAATAAATATTTGTTGACTAAAAAAACAACAACAAAAGGCACCAATACACTTAAAAAAATAATTAGATGGACAGGGGAATGTTTCAGTGACTAATAGAGGGTTAACTAACTTACCCATGGTCACAGAGCTATTAAATGTCTGAGGTGGGATTTGAACTCAGGCCACTTGTGAATCTAAAACTCATCACTCTTTCTTTTTTACCATATGGCTTTTCATCTGAAAGGCCTTGTATTTCTGAACCATGGCTTACTAAGAATTATAGGCTAGTAGGCAGGGATGAGACAGACATTCAGACAGAGAGAGAGAAGAGCGAGAAAACATATATATTTGCTTGGAATTTGGCACATACGAAGAGGATTTTAAACTGAAAATGGAACACTGAGAAAACTGACCATAATGATATGCTAAAAAAGACACTACGAGGCATCTATACAGAGAAGTCTACCTGAGAAAATTCATAGTAATTCACAGGTGACAATATGTAGAAAGAATAAGAGGACCATAGAAAGGTGCCTCTACTTTCTCTACTTAACTCCTTACAATCCTGCTTTCCACCCTGACATTCTATTGGAAACTGTTCTCTCCAAAGTGACTAATGATCACTTAGTTGCCAATTCCAATGGCCTTTTCTCAATCCTCATTCTTCTTGACCTCTCTTCAGCTTTTGATACTACTGATCACTCTCTCCTTTATATTGTCTTCTCTCTAGGTGTTCAGGATACCACTTTCTCCCAGTTCTCCTCCTACCACCCTCCTACCTTTCCAGTCTTCTTACCTTATTCCCCAACACATACTCTTTGATCCAGTGACACTGACCTCCTTGCTGTTCCATTAACAATACACTCCATCTCTCACTTCTGGATGTTTTCTCTGGCTGTTCTCCATACCTGGAACGCTTTCCCTTTTCCACTCCAACTACTGACCTCCCTGGCTTCCTTTAAGCCACAACTAAAATCCCACCTTCTACAGAAAGCCTTCCCTAACTCCTCTTAATTCCAGTGCTTTCCCTCTGTTAATTATTTCCTATTTATCATGTATATAGCTTGCTTTGTATATATTTGTTTGCATATTGACTCTCCAACTAGACTGTAAGCTCCTTGAAACCATAGACTGTCTTTTGCCTATTTTTGTATCCCCAGTACTTAGCACAGTGCCTGACACATAATAGGTGCTTGATAAATGTTTATTGGACTGAATATAAAGCTCATGCCAATTCAATTTCAAATGTGCAGAGTATGATTAATAAAGTAAGTCTTAACGTGATGAGGTAAACACAGCCTCATTGGTATCACTGAGACTTAGTACATGACACATGACTAAAATACAACAATGAAAGTGATCATTTTCATTCAAAAGGAATATAATAAAAGGAGCAATAGAGAATGTACTGTAAATCAAACATATATATTTCTATATGGAAACCTACCAACTTGAGTGGGGAAGCATGGTGCACAGAATTTGAATGAAGGTGGGAGCAACAGAAGTGATACTGATATGTGGGATAGGCATATACCTCAGAACACCCACAAAAGAGGAAGAAACAGAAAATGAGTTATGAGACGATGACAAAGACAACATGGAGGGAAAATACAGTTGTGATGGAGCATTTCACATTTTTCTTGGATATTGGTTTCTCCTAACTAAAGAGTAACTCATAAGTTCTTGCCTTGCTAAAATATTTAATCTTACAGAAGACAGAGGAAGTGACCAGGAGGTCTGTTATCATAATTAATAATTCTGACTTAACCAAGAGGTACCGGTTGGTAAACTAGACATGATGGAAATCTTGGCAAGAAGTGACCATACCACTTCTGAGTTCGTGACAGAGGAAGGAACCTCTGTTCCTTCCAGGTATTCTGATATGTACCCTAGAATTTGGAAGCATGAATTCCAAAGTATTTGGAGAATGGAGAAAGAGGAAGGAGTCCAGAGGAAAGGCCTGAGTTACCAAAGGGGAGGAGCACAGGATCAAAGACCTGGTGCTCAAAAAGATATCATTTAAGACTAATGGTGTCATTTATGAAAAGAGAAAATTGTGGTCCAGGGAATGACTTGCTCAAGGTCACACAGAATAAGTGTCAGAAGTAGGATGTGAACTCAGGTCCTTGGACTCCACAGACAATACTCTTTCCACTGTTCCATGGTCTCCTTATGACATGGCTTAAGAGGAATGGAAGATACTCAAGGAGGAGAGTCTAGTGATGTCAACACAAATGATTCCAAAGGGGAAAGATGAGGAATCTGTCTAAAGAGGTCAATATGGCTGCATAGGTAGTGAACTGAGATTTTAAAAAGATATAACTAGAACAGGGAAGCAAGAGTAGGTAACTGAGGACAAATATAAAAGTGTCACCATTTTGTAAAACAACCAAGAAGGCTAAAGCCTAGAATGAACCAATGCTTGCAAAGAAGCTTTTTAGTTATGTTGAAGACAAGAGATCCAGAAAGGAACAGGACTGACTATACTGATGAATGTGGGGATGACATCTGATTACAAGAAGAAGACTTTGCTTCTGTTCTCCCAACCAAGGAAAATAATCTTCAGAATGGGAAGAATTAACAAAAATTGTTAATATGGAATTGAAACTCAAGATCAATGGGAGATGGTGAGAATACCTACTTGCTCTAAATGAGCTCAAGTCATTAAGTATAGATGAACTACATCTACAGGTACACTGGTAATCATCTTTGAAAAACTATGGAGAAAGGAGAAATGTTGCAGGACATTATTCCATTTTTCAAAAAGGTAATAAACTATTATATTATAGTTACCTTGACTTTAATTCCTGACAAAATTCTAGAACAAGCCATTAAATGGATGATTTGTGAATACTGTACTTTGTTGTTGTTTTTTTTTTTGTTGGTTGTTGTTTTTGTTTTTTAGGCAATTGGGGTTAACTGACTTGTCAAGAGTCACATAACTAGTAAGCATCAAGTGTTTGGTCTGAGGCCGAATTTGAACTCAGGTCCTCCTGACTTCAGGGCCAGTGCTCTATCCACTGTGCCACCTAGCTGCCCCTTAACTACTATTTTTTTTTTAAATTTTTTGTTGAGGCAATTGGGGTTAAGTGACTTGCCCAGAGTCACTTAACAGTCACTCCTCACTTCAGGGCCAGTGCTCTATCTAGCACTACCTAGCTGCCCCATGAGTACTGTATTTTGAAAAGAAAGTGTTGATCATTAAAAGTTGACATGAGTTTAGTGAGACTAAATCTTGCCATTCTCACATATGGAACTACATGGTTTCATTTCTTTTCTTATTTTTTTTTGACTGATTACTAAACTGGAAGGTAGGAAGAATTTCATCGACGTAGCCAGCTTCTTTATTTATTTATTTTTATGTTACGTATCAGATGATAGTACAGTTAAGTGGTGGTGAAATTGGCTTAACTGATTCCTATAGGCCTAAAGAGTGGTGATTAATGGGTTGTTGTCAGCCTGAAGATGATAGTATTCCATGACTCCAAATCCTACAACAACAGCAGAGTGATATTGGTATTATTAAAATTAACATTTTAATATTATTAAATTTTAAAGTTTTTAAAATTAAAGATGCTAATAGTATTAAACAAAACAGGCTTTTGTTTCAGGAAGAAGCTTAGGATCCTTAAAAAAAGCTTTGCAATTTCCTGAAGGCAATCTGGTTCTCTCTTCTCTTTCTATTCAATTTTAGGCCAAATATACTCATGATCCATTTGCAGTTTCTGTCCAAGTTACATACAGTGATGAACAAACATTATAGAGTGTAGTATTCAACTGCATATCATAGTCTAGACAACAGGCATTCTTTCTCCACTTAGTTTTTCATGAGTGGATAGTTAGATCAAACTTTTTTGAGTCACCAATGGACCAAGTTTATGAAGTGCACACGACTGTAAATCTTCCAAAGGACAAAGAACAAGGACATGGTGGCTGTGAGTAGGATGCAGCACATCACAAATAAGAAATTACAAATGAGAAGAGGAATGAAGGATGCCATCAAAGAAGATGGGCTACAGCAAAAGCAAGGATGACTGTCCTGACAGGATGCATGCTCCACTGATATCCTTGCCATAACAAAAGAAGGTAAGGGGCTCACTAGGCATACTTTGTGTACCTTCTGGGTGGAACTTCTTGGAGGACATGGACAAGAGGAGTACAGAACGAGGCAGCTTATGATCTACATTGTTAGAGGAAATTTCCATATCAAGGAGATCATTGGTCCACTTGAGCTTGAGTCAACTCTGAAGCAAGGTGCTGGCTCTGGTAATATGCCATGAGGCTCTATTCAAGGCTGTGTTCTGTTCAACACCTGGTGGTGGATTATTTGCCTCACCAGGGATCTCTCTAGCTAAGTTTGTGGGGGTCCACCCATAGGCTACGTATATAGAGATGATTTTTTTTCCCCACAGGAGATCTTGACAACTATTTACAAAGTAACAGAGGGACTATGGATTAGAATTTGGTTCAACTTAAGGAAAAACTTCTAAAACTTCTAAAAGTTGAATGCCTCAAAGTAATGAGTGAAGTAAAACTGGGAAAACAACCAAAAAATTGTTCCACCTTTATTTTTTTCTTTCTCTAAGACAGAAAATTTAAGCCAATCTAAAAGAGTACAAGAGGAGAGACTAAAAATTTATGCAAGTGACAATGAAATGTTAAGGATGAAATGAAAGCTCTACCTGGCACAGTTCCTTAACTAGTTTTTGAGTTTGGTTTAGTACTTGAGGGTGGCTAAGAAGCTGAGAATCCTACATAAGGAAATAATTTAATCACGAAGGTTAAACATGAAATTTAGGTTTTACAGAACACTGACAGGACCTTCAGGGCACCTGACCAGGGTGCTGGGAGTTTTTCTTATACTTTCTTCAATATTATTCATCTTCATACTCAGCTTTCACAACCTAATTCAGATAAAGACTCTTGTTAAAGTTTCCTGACTTGAGTTATAATAACTGCTTACCAGGGTCTACAAGGGCCAGGCGTTTATCTCGGGACAGAGAAGCTCTTTCTTCTTGATTAAACATCCTGTCAATCATCACCATCTCAGCAGAAGGATTTATCCGCTGAAAAACAAAGAGCAAAATCATTTTAGATACTTTTAAAATCGGTTCAAAACATGTCAGCTGGGTCTTTAAATCCAAAAAGAAGGAATCAAAAATGAAGATTTAGTTTCTAGTTTCCTGTTGCGTCTTTTTACTCCATCTTCTGTGATGATTTATTTGTTAAGAAATTCCTTGAAGTGAATTTTAATTTTAATGACTTCAGCAAAAGAGAAGTTAGAATTGTAGTCCTAATTTCTTTTGTTTTGAGATGAGCAAGCTAAGTTTATTTTTTATTTTTTAATTCAATTTTCTTTTTATTTTCATTTCCAAATTCCCTTCCTTCCTCCCTCATTCTCCTCCCCCACCCACTGAGAAAGCAACAAAATCTGTTACAAATACATAAAGTCAAGCAAAACAAATTTCCACATTAACTAGGTCCAAAAAAAAATATGTTTCAATCTGAACTCTGAGTTCATTACCTCTCTATCAGGAGGTGGGCAGCAAGTTTCATCATGAGGCCTCTGGAACTGTGTGGTTGGTTCCTTTGTGTCGATCAGAGTTTTTAAGTCTTTCAAAGTTGTCTTTATAATACTGTTGTTACTGTATAAATTGTTCTGCTTTAGTTGACTGTTTCATGACTTGTCTAAACCAAAATCATCTGAGAACAGTTCAACAATACTGATAAAGCTTCTTACAATTTTTAAATGCTTCTTTCAATTTGGCCAGTTTGGCTTCACTGATAGCTATTCAAGTTGAAAAAAATTCTCTCATAGCTTTAAACAGCTGATTTAGTGTAGTTAAGAGATTTTCCTAAAGCCATATTATCATCATTGGCTTAAGAACTTCACTGATAATAATATTAATGTAAGAAGAGTGTATCTTTGTAGACATTACATCACCCACAAAATCATTTATAGCTTAAAGCACGTTCTTGGACTACTGAAATGGATTTGGCCTTTCCCATCTTTTCCCAAGTCTTTTGTTCTCTTTTCTCATTAACTAGTATTTAAGAACTAATTTTGGCATTGGTTATTTCCATGTTTCCTCTATTCCTTCTTAAAAACTTCTATCCAATGCACTATATTCTGTACCTGCAGTCTTTCTCAGAAGATCTCCAGTATTTCATCTGTTCGAGGAAATATCTCCCTCCTCTTGGAAGGGAGGCAGGAGACTATGGGTACAAAATATTGCAAAAGCTGTCAGATATAGCTGCTGGTGTCAGTTAATTTTAATTAACTGATTTTTTTTGTTACAAGGGAATGTTCAAAGGAAAGGAGGTATCATATTAGGAAACTACAGTGATGTAAAAACAGAAGGCATCAATAAAACAAGAAAAAGCGAATCTCTGTGATCTCTTAATTTTTGAGTTGAAAAACCATGTTTTGAAAGTACACTGCCTCTTTGGGTTATTCATCTGTAAAGCAGCTGCACGATACGCATTGTGTTTCTGAAAACCAAATCTACTTGGCTTGTAGGTCTTACCATGGCATCTTCTATAAGCAGACATCTGTATTTGTTAAGCATAGCTTGGGTCCTTTTGAGAAGTTGAGTGGCAACTGATTCAAATTCACTGTCCACTAAAAAGAGAGAGAAGACAGGAAAAGTTATCCTCACTATCCTTAACAGGATAACAGACTTACAGCTGTAACGAACTCTGCCACAGAGGTCATCTGGCCCAATCCCCTCATTTTAAAGATGCAGATCACTGATTTGCCCAGGGTCACTCATACAGATCAGTCACAGAACGGCAGACTTATTTCAGTGATTCTTCAGGCTAAAAAGGACTTCATGAGATCATCCCCTTGCTTCAGGAAAAAAAGTACTCTCTTGAATATAATAACTTTATCCATTATCAAGGCTCATCTGTGAAAACTTTTGTCATCCATCCCAGGCTGGCTTCGCTTCTGCCCTGGCCAGACTTCTAGGCTGCTTTTCTCTATTGTCAGCTGTTACACCATCATAGAATGTCATCTGGTTTTAATATTAGCTTAAATAGAATCCAATCAAGAAGATCTATATATTACAGAATGTCAATGCTTTTCAACAACAAATATTTTTAAAAATCATGCAATTTATTCCAACATCAAATAGAAGTGATCTTAGGATGACCTGCTGTTTAGATGATTTGTGCTGCCACTCCCTTCAATTATGAGGATGCTTTCATGAGGCAGCTGGGGCTGGGGTCAGTCTAAATGTAAATCCAAGTTTAGATACTTACTTACTAGCTGTGTGACCTTGGGCAAGTCACTTAATCTCTGTTTGCCTCAGTTTCCTCAACTATAAAATGGGTATAATAATAGCATCTACCTCCTAGGGTGGTTGTGAGAATAAAATGAGAATGTGTAAGATGCTTACTTTGCACAGTGCCTGGCACATGGTAAGTACTTAATTAATGCTCATTTCCTTCCTTCCTTCCTTTCTTTCCATGTAGAACCTTACATTAATGGGTCATATCTTCAGGATTACAGTTTTGCAGTCCTGCCTTTCCTTATTCACCTGTTTGCCACATTCCCTCTCTTACTTTCCCATGTTTTTTTCTTCCTCTCATATTCCCTTTTCACCACCCCACCAGCCCCCTCCCTACCTGGTCCTGGTCCTGACCCCTTCCTAGTTCACAGGATCATAGAATCACAGATCTAGAGTTGCAAGCTTAGAGGCCATCTTGTTCAAACCCTTAATTTTACATATGGAGGAAACTGAGGTCCAAAGAGATTGAATGGTTTGCCCAAAGTCCCACAAGAAGTAAGATCAGAGGTGGTATTTGAACCCAGGATCTCTTGCTCCAGAACTAGTGCTCTTTCCCTTGTACTATGCCTGCCTTAGGCAGAACAGAAGTCACTGTGACCACTGCCCTGATACTGTGGAGCAGAGCCAGAAGGGATAAGGGTCAGGCACAGCTGGACAGGAAAATAAGGCAGTATGGATGAAATGGAGTCAGGGCTCTGGAGGCACACTCACAAGGGGCAGGACTATCAGGACTGAACATGAGGATGGGGAAGCAAGCATGACGGCTGGCACTGAGCTGGGACAGAGAAACTAGTATATAATCTTTGGCCAGATACCAAGTTGGTACCACTATACTAGAAGGTCCCAGTTCTACTTCTGACTCAATTATTTGCTTGACTGGCTTTGTGACCTCAGGAAATTCTTTTTAAGCATCCATTCACGAATATTGGTCACCAAGAGCAAGGAAGAGGTTAGTGTAAGTTGTTTGCATGATGACCAGTCAAGTAAAATCTTCAGGCAAGTGTTAATTCATGATTCAGCTTTACTGCTCAGGAATTTGACCACAAGAGTGACATTTTTGGTGAGGATATTACCTTTTGGCCTTTGGTGGGAAGAATGTGGTGAGGCACTTCATGAATACCAGAGATTTCTTACTAAGATGGATGCTATTAACTCTCCTCCTGCTGCTCCTAGGCAGTAAGTCAGTGACAGAGTTGGGATTTTTCAAAGGAGAGCTCTCTTATTTGCATTCTAAAACTCTCAATCATCCTCTTAGAAATTCTACTGGTCTCAGGCATTGAATGAGCTGTCTCAGGCTCAAGGCCTATTTACCTTTCTTCAAATCCTCTTCAGTTGGCAGGGATCCCTGACACACATGATAAGAAAGGAGTCTCTGGACCGCATCATTTAGAGACCTGAACTGGCTTTTATCTGGCGTCACAGCATGGGCTTGATTCTTCTGTAACTGCTGGAGAATACTTTAAGAGACAAATTTCCAATATTAACACAGAACTACTTTGAGAAACCTAACCACACAGTCACATTTACATAAGAATAAACAGGAATAACAACAGTACATAAATTATATTAGATTTCTGAGTTGTCTTTCTAATAGTAGAGAGAGATTATGCTCATCCATCCACTATCCTGTATAATCAATCAATCGATAAGCATTTATTAAGCACCCACTATGTTCCAGGCACTGCACTAGGTATTGGGGAGACAAAGACAAAAAAAATCAAGCAATTCCTACTGGGGAAAACAACACACCTCTAAATAAATATCTTCAGAATACTTACAAGCTAAATACAAAATATTTAAGTACTAGGTACCAGCAGGGAGGGCACGAGCACATCAGGGGAGGAGGAAAGGCTTAGTTAGTGTAGCAGGTAGTGCCAGAACTGTGTCTAGAAGGACAAGAAGGAATGTACGAGGCAGAGGTGAGGAAGGAGTGCTTCCCAGGTATGGGGAGAGATGATCCAAAAGCACAAAGGAGATGAGAATCATGTGGCAAGAACAAAGAGCAGGCCAGTTGTGATTCATCACAGAATGAGAGAAGGGGAGTGATGCAGGATGAGGCTGGAAAGACAGGATGAGGCCAGGATGGAAAGGGCTTCCAAAGCTAAAAAGAGGAATTTAATTTTCATTCTAGAACAAAGTCAACAGAGTTTACTAAGCAGCAGGGGAATAGCAAGGTTCCAATTGGGTGCTTAAGGAAAATCACTTTGGCAGCTATTTGGATGATGAATTAGAGTGGGGAGGAGTTTGAGGGAGGGAGACCATTGTAAAAGTCCAGTTGAGAAGGGACAAGGGCCTGAACTAAGTGGTGGTTGTATGAATGAAGAGAATGGGACAGTGGAGGCAGAAATGAAAGATTTGGCAACTAGTTCAATACGTGGGCTAAGGAAGAATTAAGAGTTGAAGACATTAAGACATTTGATTCGGGGAGAATCAAAAGATGTTGAGGTCTTCAAAAAAATAAGGAAGCTTGAAGGGGGAGGGAGGGGAGTTTGGGGAAAAGACTGTGAATTTTGTTATGGATGTGTTAAGTTTGAGATGTCTCTGGGCCATTCATCTTACAACATTCAGTAGGCAATTGGTGATATTTGATGTTTCCCTGGTGATCAATACTGTATAATGCAATAAAACTGATGGTGGTGGGAATTTATCCTGTGTCTCTCAAGGCCCACTGGAAAACTGAACAAATGATCTTTGTCTCATATAAACATGGTACTCCAACCAATTCTATCTGCATGGGTTTAAATACACACATAACATACACAGAGCTAAATTCATATCCTATAATAAGCAAATCAACAGGTATTACCTGGGCTGACACTTCTGCTCTACCCTTAAAGTCTGTTCATGCTTAAAGTCTAATCATGCTCAAGAGGGATCCTCAGAACAACAAGAACTTTAAAAGCCCAAACTATTAGCCTTAGGAACAAAAGAGTAAACACCAAGAGATTAATCACTTTCCAAGATTCAACAAACATCATTTGATATCCTAACACCCCCTAAAGAAGATGTTATCAATGAAACCGTACATTTTCAAAAAGACAAAAATGTAATTTTTGAAAAGGCTAATGCAGAATCAGACAACCCCCAAATATATCTACATAAGATGTTAACTTGACCTCTGTAGTTGATGATAGAAACTGGGAAAACTAAAGGAATTAATTTGAAATTAAATCACACTTTTCACAAGTTAACTTACAAAGCTCCTTTAGTTAGCTGTTTTGCAGCAGGTCTCTTTTGTCCCACTGTATGACTATCCACCTAGAGGAAAATAAATTTCCTGATTATTTCCTTCGGTAGAAAAAAACAGATTACAGAAAACTTCGAAAATATAGTTTTAAAAGTAGAAATGTTTTCAATTACCTATAAAAGGCATTTTTTGGAATGGTAGTATTATGCCTTATTGAAAAAAAAACAACAGAAGAGCAATAATTCTGTAGATTGAGTATTAACAACTTGGTACTACATTAAAAACTTCTGGGATCACAGAATGCAGTCACAACTCTTTAGAAGGACTCAGCTGTTAACTTATTACAGGATAACAAAATATGCAGGGCAATATGTTTGTAGGTAACAACCCAACAGATGAGAAATCAACAGATCACTTAGCCCCACAGCCCAGAAGTGAGCCTGGCACAGATTACTACTATGGTTTAGGAAGCAAATTCAGATTCTGTTGTGCCTGGGTGGGAAGAGAGAACCAGAGTCCCTAGTCCTAAGAACAGCACCTCACTGGGCACCACCAGGCAATCCTACATCACAGGAGACTTTTCAATTTAAAGGGATGGAGAAATGTTTAAGAAAATCATAAGGCTGACAAAAAAATCCTCTTTTTTTTTTCTTCCTTTTTCTCCTTTGGACCATTAATTTTTAAAGTAATATTCAAACTTTTTCAGTTCCCAGGCCACTTTATTGGGATAATGTTGATCACCTATCCTGTCAAATGCTGCTGGCCACTTGGAAAAAAATCCTGAATGGGAAGAAGGGCACTGTTTTTGCTAAGACATTGGTGAGAGGTATCACAAGTAATAATAGCTGACCTTACATAGTATTTTATACAGTTTTAAAGTTTTATTCTTTCATGTAATTTTATTTTATTCTCACAACAATCCTACAAGGGATATATTGGAAGTATTATCTTTATTTTACAGAAGAGGAAGCTGAGGCTTAAGGTCTCACTGCTAATAAATTGAAGATCCAGCTTTTATACCCTGGCCTTCAGCTTCCAAGTCCACATTGCCTTTAATGTAAATCATTCATTCATGCTAGATGTTATTATTATCCATTTTAACACCAAAAGAGAACAGCTGCCTGACCTCCGAGAGCCCGCCAGGGATACCCATCTTCCAAAGACTTCACTGTGCGCATTGCGTGGTAAGATCCCTACTGGAGAAGAGGTGAGCTCTGTCCTGATGTGCAACCAAGACCCCAAGCAGCAAAGTGGCGCCCTTACACTTTTATTCTTTTGCTGTAAATACTAAGAAAAAGCTACATTCAATAGCCATCTACCTGTACATTTTGCTGTCCTGGTGATGATCCCACTCCTTTTTCCTGCTGTGGCTGTGGTGTTCCTAAGGGTGGTTGTATGACTTTGCTTCCAGAATCCTGTCCTATTAAAACGGTGAACATATGATGTTAATCAGAGGCAGCAAAAGAGTAAACCATAATTCATGTATCATAGATAATTAATTACTCTAAGATGAGAGGAGAGCAAGGAGGAGAATTTATTTGCCAGACCTGGGCATCAGACAAAGTGACTGTCAGAATCCACTAAGTAAGACAATTTAAACACTGGAGTTTCACCTTCTTTGAGGCAGAAGCAAATGACTTTTGGAGGACCTGAGTATCCACAAAGCTGAGAGGAGGGGAATAAAAAAATGGTAGCATCTGAATGGACATTTTTAGGGTTTTGCCTTCTACATTACTAAACATTTACTGAAAATGTCTCTAGAACTCTGTACCAGATACAATAGGAAGCACAAAATAAATAGGAAACACGGTAATTGTTCTCATGTCATTCTAAGTGTGAGAATCAAATGCACACAGATGAAGAGAGCTGGGGACAATTACCAAAGCAACATACATTAAATAATATGTAGACTAACTATGAAAGTGTTGAGAGTCACAGAATAGAGGAGTGATCACAACAGGGTAAAGTTAATCTGGAAAGACTTCATTTAGGATTAGATATGAGGAACAGGAACTGACTTTGGATGTCAGGAGGCAAAGTAAAAATTAGATAAGGAGAGGCTCCTGACCTGGCAATGGGTTACTCAAGAGACCAGTTATTTGCGTTTGTCTCAAGCCATCTGGGGTCTTGGAAGTTGAAACGGGGGAAGTCTGGTTCAAGCTTTTTTTCTGAGCCTGTGAAAAATATTACCAAGATGGAAAAGTCAATTTAAAGATTTTAAAGTCTTAACAGGTTAGTGATAAACAAATGACTCAAGTCCTTTAACAACTTAAAAATTCAACCTAGAGAGTTTTCTTCAAGTTACATCAAAGAAACAAAAATGGAAAACAAATAGTATTATTTTCCTTTTATATAAGACAGGGGTTCTTAGCCTGGAATATGTGAACTTTACAAACATATATATATATATATATTTAAATGACTGTATTTTGATATAATTGGTTTCCTTTATAATCTTATGCATTTAAAAACATTATTCTGAAATAATGAGTCCATAGGCTTCACCAGACTGCCAAAGGGGGCCCATGATATAACAAAAAAGGTTAAGAACCCCTGACGTAGGAAGAATTTTAATAAATACATTTCCTTGTCCTCAGATCTCTGGGGTACATTCACTGGTATCTCCTGAGATGCTTCATCGAAGTTAGTTGGCTTCATGCCACCACAATAATAAATCCAAATATCCTCCCTCCTGGGGTCCTGCTTCACATGGTAAATACAGTCTAAGTCACTGAGATCCAAGAGGAACTCAGTCATTATAATTATAAGATTTTTATCCCTTGTGATTTCATATACACCCAAAACCCAATTCTTCTTTGAATTAGGACAGCAAACAATGAATTCCTGCATACTGTGCTTTAACTGAATATGACAACCTTAAAACTAAGTCTGTCTGACTCACTGACCAAAAAACTCTATTTTCTTTTACCGGCTTATCTGTAGTAAATCTATCATCCTGGTTACTCAGCACAGTTATGAGATGACTCACCTCACAATCAGTTAGCATAAGATCAGGAAATACTGGCATAAGGAGCTCCAAGTAAGGAAATTCCCTTTATTGATAGAGATCATCAATTGCTCTGCAAGTTATATTTTTAGAGAGTTGCCTAGAGCACTGTGATTTCAGTGATTTGCCCAGAGTCAAACAAGGCAGTATGTGTCAGAAGCCAGCCTTGAACTCAAGATTTCCTGATTCCCAAGGCCAGCCTGCCACCTTCCACACACCACACTGCCGTCTCCATTTAACAGCTTCAGCAAAAACTGATGACAACACCTTCTTTCTTATTTGTACAATAAGGAGATAATCTCTGAAAATAAACAATTCTATGATTCCATATGATGCATTCCTAAAGCTAAACAGAAATGACTTTTTTTGGGGGGAGGGGGGCTAGGCAATGGGGTTAAGTGACTTGCCCAGGGTCACACAGCTAGTAAGTGTTGTGTGTCTGAGGCCAGATTTGAACTCAGGTCCTCCTGACTCCAGGGCTGGTGCTGTATCCACTGTGCCACCTAGCTGCCCCCCAGAAATGACTTTTTGATTATCCCCCACTCTGAATCATCTATGACAATGAGACCCCTCTAGTACTGTGGATCATTACAGGAGTTAGCTGTACTTTAGTTACTTTAGTTCAGTCATTTCCCTTAAACAATCTTAAATTCTTTTCATTTTCCCTCCTTGCACAACAGAAGGTTGGAGGAAGGCTGGGGTTTACCAGTTAGCCTGTGAGTAATCCTCTTGCTTATAATAGAGTCATACCTGTGTCATCCCAGACAGATGGGTATGGGAGTCTTTTTAAAAGCAAGATGGGAATCAACTGGGGAAAAGATGAATAAATTAAGGTATATGAATGTGATGGAATACTATTGTGCTATAAGTAATGACAAAGGGGATAGTTTCAGAGAATCCTGGGAAGACTTATATGACTGAGGCAGTGTCAAGTGAGCAGAACCAGGAGAACAATTTATGCAACAACAAGAACACTGAAAAAAGAACTTCAGAAGATTTAAGCACTCTGGTCAATACAATGACCAACCACGATTCCAGAGGACCAGTGATGAAGCATGTACCTCTTCCAACAGAGAGGGGATGAATTCAGTTGCAGAATGAGACATACATTTTTGGACAAAGTCAATGTGGGAATTTGTTTTGTTTGACTTTACATATTCGTTACAAAGGTTTTGTTATATAATGAGAAAGAAATGACCAGTCCAGTCTTATTACTTTACAGTCTTACCTCATATATCAGTGCCTTAGATTAAAAAACAACAACATAATAACAATTTTCATGGTAATAAAGAACTAGAAATAACAAGGGTGTCCATCAATTAGTAAACAGCCTAAACCAACTGTGGTATATGAATGTAACAGAATATTATTTTGCCATAAGAAATGACAAATACAAGGAATTCAGAAACACAGGAAGATTTACATCAATTAATAAATGTGAGCTTGTAGAACTGAAAGAGGACCAGAAGAACAGTAAGGACAATGGTTACAACAACATAAACTAAAAGATAATCCTGATACTAAACTAAAATACCCTTATAACCTCTGAGCAAACAAAAAATTAATAATAGTCCTGGAGTACAGATAATAGGTATGAGTTGGACTTGGTGACCACTGAGATCACTTCCAACTCTTAAATTCAGTGGTTCTGTGAACCTAACTCCCTTTCCTCTCCGCAGAGAGGCAAGAGACCACCAGGACAGAATGGAGTCTGTACACAGTTTTGTCTATCATCGTTAGACAGGGCAAACCTATTGAGTGTTTTTCTTTGCTACAATGGAGGACAGGAAAGAAATGGGATTATTTCTAAAAACAACCAACCAAACCTGTAATATAAAAACAAAAGGCATCAATAAAACAATTTTAAAAAAGAGAGGAGGGAAGAGGTACTAGTTCAGAACTTTATGATAGGTAGAGGTCTTTTCTCTCCCTCTGCAGCATCAGTGGGGAGGATATAACTTCCCTTCCTGTTCTCCTGCAGCTGTAATCCATTCCCTCACATCTAAGGCCTAAGAAAACACCCCCAATTTACATATTTTAGTCATACTCTACATGTAGATATTCAGTATCTCAGTATTGATATTTAGTATTGCTCTCAGTCATACACTATGTGTAGATGTTCTTTAGAGAACTGGTCTCAGTCACTCCCATTCTTACTTTGGTGGCAGCAGCCTTACCTATCCCTGGGCACTCCTGTTCTCTTCTCCTTTATACTCCAAAGAATAGCCAATCTACTCTCACTGCCAGGAAATTTTTTTTTTTTTTGGTCCTTTATATGGTATTTCCAATACTGATAATATAAATGATCATTCTTTGACTTTTATGGGATCATAGATTTAAAGCTCACTTAGAGGAGATACTTAAACCTACATGTATTTTCTACAAATTACTAACATATTAAAATAGTTTGCCTTACAAACTCAGCAAATTTCTTCCCTCTCTAAGACCTGGCTAAGAGAAATCTACTCACATTAGAACAAGTGACTTTCAGTCTCTGAAGACCCCTTGAAATTCCATGATACATATCACCTACCCAGCAAAACTGAGTATAATCCTTCAGGGGAAAAAATGGTCATTCAGTGAAATAGAGGACTTTCAAGCAATCTTGATGAAAAGATCAGAGCTGAATAGAAAATCTGGCTTTCAAATACAAGACTCAAGTGGAACATGAAGAGGTAAACAGGAAAGAGAAATCCTAAGAGACTTACTAAGGTTGAACTGTTTATATTCCTGCATGGAAAGATGGTATTTGTAACTCACAAGATCTTTGCCAGTATTAGGGTAGTTGGAGGAAAAAAATTTTATGTATGTATGTGTATAGATAGATAGATAGATAGATAGATAGATAGATAGATAGATAGATAGATAGAGGGCACAGGGAGAGTTGAAGATGAAGGGGTGATATCTGGAAAATAAAATTAAGGAGTAAGAGAGGATTATACTAGGAGAAGGAGAAAGGAAGAGTAAATTATCTCACCAAAAAAAAACAACAGAAAAGGCTCTTACAGTGGAGGGGAAATGGGGGAAGGTGAGAAGGAACGAGTGAATCTTATTCTCATAGGATTGGACTTAAGGAAGGAATAACATACACACTCAATTGGGTATGGAAATCCATCTTACCCTACGGGAAAATAGGGAGGGAAGGGGACAAGAGAGTAGGGGGATGATAGAGAGGAAGGCAGATTGGGAAAGGGGGTAATCAGAAGCAAATACTTCTGAAGAGGGACAGGGTCAAAAAAAAAGAATGGAATAAATGGGGGAGGCAAGATAGGATTAAGGGAAATAGAGTTAGTTTTTCCCAGCATGTCTACTATGGAAGTGTTTTGCATAAGTGCACATGTATAACATATTGAGTTGCTTGTCTTTTCAATGAGGGTGGGTGGGGAGGGAGGGAGGGAGAAAATTTGTAACCCAAAGTTTTAAAAACACATGTTTAAAAAAAATGTTTTCACATGCAACTGGGAAATAAGAAATACAGGAAATGGGGTACAGAAATCTACCCTGCCCTACAGGAAAATAGAAGGGGAAGGGGATAAGAGAAGTGGGGGAGAGACAGAAGGGAAGGCAGACTAGGGGAAGGGGTATTCAGA